TATATCAGGTTTTTAACATACTAGTCATGAATTACTGGAAAGCTTGAATTACTTACACTCTTTCTTGGTGACAAAATCATTGTTTTTAACATACCATTATTTAATTGCTGTTGCTAAATTCTTTCTCACAATTGTCTCATTCTTAGGAAAATTTGATACGAAATGTGCATGGTTTTAGTACTGGTGCTAAACTTTTTAATGTAGTAATGATGTGAAAATATATTTCACCTATTGTTTTAATCTAGGAGTGGAAAAAAGTACCCGCCCAGAGAGTGGGAACATTTTCCAGACTTTCTCCTGGGGACTATTGTCGATTACAATCATGGGCCTCTCTAAAGCCTTTTCCTTTTACTGAAGCTGTGTACTCTGTGTACGCTGTGATGGAACACCATGAAGCAATAGTTCACAGAAGCTATTTTGCCCCCTCTCATTTTTTCCCAAGTGGTGAAGGTTGAAACCTCAGATTGTATCATTTCACAGTGCTCTCCTTCTGAACTAAGTTTCCTGAGGAACTGCTTTTCCTTCCCTTTGTAAAGATGTAGAAAGCACATGTGTGCGCTCAAGAGTAGAGCTTCAGATTATTGGATGCTTGGATCAACCCATATGTCAAAATTTAACTATTCACTATTTTCGCCATTGTGCAAAACAGGAGTGTGCAGCTTTTTGGGTAGAATTTAATTGGTATGCTGGGAGCTGCACTCTGAAAAATGTGAGAACATATCAAAAAGTATAAATGGATTTAATGTCAATTTAAACTTAATTAACAATTACATTAAATACTGTAAATACAGTTGGTTATTCCCCAATTAATACTTTTCTTAAAAAAAGTATTAGTATTGATTGAAAATTACAATTTGGCATCAGGTTTCAAGGATCTTTGCGTGATTATCTCCAGAGTTTGGGACTATGTATTTTATAAAACAGAGGTCTCCAAACTTGGCAACTTTTAAGACTTGTGGACTTCAACTCCTAGAATAGCTGGCTGAGGAATTCTGGGAGTCCACAAGTCTTAAAGTTGCCAAGTTTGGGCATCCAGTATAAAATCTCAGATAAGTGACCTAGAATAGGGATGTGCACAAAATATAAAATAAGTTTCATTCTATGCACAGAACAACCACATTGTGTCATGCAAGTTTTGCTGGAATGTTCTGGACAAGCCACAATTGAGCAGAATTGGAAAATACTCAATCTGGGTTTGGACTGAAAAAACATTTTGGAGGATCTTACTGGACAAGTAGAGTTATACCTTCCTCTTCCAAGTATCTTGTGTTCTGGCCCATTGTTTCCAGTGTTCTTCCCATCGTCCTCCTGACTTCTTTGCTGCCATTGTAACCCTTGACAGCATATTCCACCTGCCTAACTGCACTTCCTCTCTTTTTCCCTTTGGCCACAACACCCTTGCTTGGCATACTTTGCCAGCCTTTTGCTTTTTTGGTCTCAATTTCCTCTGAGCTACTGACACAAATCTGCCCACAGCATACACCTCTCAAGTCCGTGTACAGACAAAATGTGTGGCAGATCCATGCACAGATGGAATACATTTCAATTCAGATACAGATCATCCCATGTATTCTTGTACAAAATACCACAAAATACACCACTAATCTAGAGGTACATAAAATGTTTGACCTGTTTTAAGTTGAAATTACTTGAACTTGAAAGAATTACTTGGGGTCCAGAAGAAGTTGTTTTGGTTTACACTTAAGATGCACAATTGTCATTTCCTGGAGGAAAAGTCACAGAAGGTAGTATTTGATGTGTTCTCTCCTACCCATTGCCAGTAGCCTATGGAGTGCTAGAAAATTTCATTCCCCCCCCCTTTTTTTCCAGATGTGCATATCAAACGTACAAAAATATTCCAGATACTCTATCTAAAGTGTCATCACAAATTATTGATGTCCACTTCTCATTTTCATGCACATCTCAAAGAGGTGCTGAACCTTTGAACACTTTTTGAGCAGTTTCTTTCTCCCCCCCCCCCTTTTTTTTTTTTTGAACAGTTTGGAGACTGGGGATGATTGAGGTAAAATGGGATTTAAATCCAACAAAATGGAGAAATCACAGATTGGAAACTGTGTTTTGAAAAGATGCTTTCAATTGAGCTTAAATGGAATTGTACTTTTGTGAAAATATATCAACTGGGAAAGTACAGATAAAATTAGGGCTTTTAACATATTAGGCAGATACACTGCACTGATCAAGAGAAAATAAGCTGCTTTTTTTAACCTACTCTTCATGAGGCCTCTTTTGAAGATGATCAGAAAGATTGTTTTGTCTAGACTGAAACTCTGATTGCATGTGCATTTCTAAACTCAATTTAAAATGTGCTTTAATTGCAGAGGTGAGAAACATCTGCCCTTCAAAATTATCGAAATCTATCTCCCATTAGCTTCCGTTCAAATGGGTGATATCACCCTACTTATATATGAACTTATAAGAACTGTAACAAAAACCTTTTCATTCACCATTCAGGTCTATTAAGAGCCACTAGAGAGATTCCTTTCCATTATGACCCATATACTTTTGCAATGATTCTTTGTAATAGTACTTATATTTAGGAGTGTGCACAGAATTGAAAATGTTTTAAGCTTAAGACAACACCTTATTCAGAAAGTTCTATTGGAATATTTTAAGTTGATTATGTTACACTGGCACAAACCTTGAAACACCTGGATGTTTTAGTTGATTCCAGCTTGAAGCATTTTGACTGTTCCATCTATGTAAAATGATGGAACCAAGTATGAGAAACCTACTCCCTTAATGTTTCATCCCAGCATCACACATATATAGACAGGCTATCAGTCCACATTGATTGCTACAGATCTGAGCAGATTTGTGTATTGGCTGCCCAAAATAGGAGTGAATCCATCACCCTGATTTGCTCTAGCTTACTTAAGTAGGATAGAATGCACTGATGTCATTTGGAAATGTACCAGGCATGTTGCTCTAACTAGGAGAATCACATGCTTGTATCTGCTGAGGGACTTTTCATGCCAGAACCTGAATCTTGACTTCTGTTGCTATTGGGCATGGAGCATTTCCCCTCTTTCTGGAGGGAGTCTAATCTCTTTCCTTCAGCTTGGACCATTTCTTATAGGCAGGAAGTCTCTGTAAAAGCAGGGGAGATTGTAAGGAGTTAGTCATTGTCAATTAGCTTCCCCTCACCATTGGCTCACTTAAACCTATAAATATGGTGTGCTTGTTTGTACCCATAGTTTTTGGTAGAGTATGAAGTCAGACTGTCAAAGTTTATTTGTTTTATTAGATTTTTATTCCACCTTAATATTTTTATGAATAAGTCAAGAAATTGAGCATATATAAGAACATGCACAAGCTCTTACATTCTCAAGAGTTTGTTCAGGAATTTTCAATTGGAGGAAAAAAAAACCATAGCTCTTAAGTGGCACTCTCTGTTCTTAAGAGAGGTATTGCAAAACAGAACGGCTCAAACACAAGAAACTGCCTTGGCTATGACTACCCCTTTCTAAAGATCAAGAATATGTCCATGTAGATTTGCCATGTTGTACCTGGTTGCTTGCACTTCAAACAGCTGCTTTAATAGCAGGTAGTGTAGGTGGTTCCACTGAATAAAGACATTCAAAGAGATCTGTGGTCAGGGTCAATCGTACTTGTCCTTAAACTTCCCTTAACAGAAGTTACTCTTAACAGAAATACCCAATATTATTATGGCACTTACCAATAAAAGTACTCCTGGCAAATCTTAGTGTTCAGAAGTTACATTGGAAGCAGTAATGGCTGCCCAGTTTTTTACCATGGGCATCTTAGCAGCAGCAATTGTGCCTTGTGAATCAGAAACAGTATGTGGTGTGAAGGAGGTCCCTTCTGCATGAGCCTGCATTTTGTCACATAGGAGATGCTGACAAATATAGCAGCAAACAGTTAGTCTCACCCAACTAGTGCATGGTGATGGAGAGGTAACTGTATATGACTGAGACCAACACATCTTTCCTGCATAAGTGATAGAGTATCCACCTGTATTGTTGTTGCTGCTGCTGCTAGCTGTTGTTGTTGTTGTTGTTGTTGTTGTTGTTGTACCAAAGCTGCCAATTGCTCAGTTAGGTCTGAGACATTTGGACCTTATTATCACTTGCCCCTTCACCATCCCTTGGATGCTTTAGTGACTGCCCCTAGTTGGCAGTATGAGTTGCTTACTGCTGGATGTTGCTAATGTGAGTGTTTAGTAATCCCATAATGGAAATCATTTTGGATTCTTGCTCTGCAGATGTCTGCCTTGTAGTAACTGAGTAATGAACTCATGAGGTGTGGCTTGGATTTAGGACAGTACAGCTCTTCCTGAGTGTTAATTCAAATCTATGGGTTACTGTGAAGCAACATAACCAGTTTTGCTCAGCTTGCCTCACCTATCACGATACCAATATTGCTGCTACAGGAGCCACAGGCCTATTACTAAAATAAAACCTTTCAGTGGTCTCTCTTCCTCTCTCTTGCCCAGCCATAATAGATTTAGAAAACCACTAAAAGTGGGATCATGGCAATGACAAACAGTAAGTGTGAGGGCATACTCATTTTGTGGTTGTTCATTAAGTATTTTCCTATTACTGTAGCTTTGATAGATTTAATAGCTTTTTGAATTTTTGGAAACACCATTGATTTAAGTAAAAGGGATAGTGCACTTAACACTTGACTGTTTTCTCTCAGAATGGAAAATTAAAAATGTCAAGCTAATGGAGATTCCTTGGAAAGTATAATTTATTCTATTAGTTTATCCATGCTGTTTAAATCTAATATCGCTGCTGTTTAGAGCTATTGTTATGATTCTGATATACAGTTCAAATTCTCTGCGCATGTGAGATCAATATATAAATACTAGAACTGTTTATTAAGAAACACATCCTGAGATCATCTAGAAACAGATTTAAAATGTAATGCTTCTTAAGTGAGATTTGGGTTTTAACTGATATATTTTTCCAAAAAGGAAGTCATTTCTGAATAGCTGCCTCATTTCATATTTGTTTCAGATTTAGCATTGGAGTCAAACCCATCTGACCATCCTAGAGCAAGCACAATTTTCTTGAGCAAATCCCAAACAGATGGTAAGCTAATTTTTGCTCCCTTTAAAAAAGAGGATGGGAGGAGATGGAGTGGGCGTTTAATTCATTTCCATTTCTGTCAAAGTGATGTTTGAATCAACATTTTTGCTTGCTCTTCACTGCATTTCTCATAGCTGTTTGTCTGAGACTGTTTTTTTTTTAAATTCTTTTAATTCATTCCCAATTCTCCCCATCAGTAGAATAACTAGAAGATGGTTATCTTATGGCCAGTGATTGAAACGACTTTCTCATCAAGCACCATTTACAATATTCCTAGCAAATATGATTCACTGCCTCCAGAAGATGTTACTTCTGTCATCTCATTTCTTCCTAGTGGCAAAAGAATTCAGTCTAGCTTGAGTTATATGTCAGACTAACATGCTAACGTTTACTGAGATAATTTTATATTAACATTCAGCTTTGATGCTCATGTAACATATTTCCACCTTTTTAAACCAGTATTTATAACATTGAGTCTTTTTATAGAAACAGTGCAGTTTATTATTTATTTATTGGCTTTCTTTATATGTTGTTACCATTGTAAAATAAATGGTTGAATCAGTAAATGCTCTAATTCACAGAATGAATTATTGCTATTTCCCCTGATCTAAGAAACAAACAAAAAATAAGGAGTTGGTTCTGGGGAACTGACTAATATTTATTCCACGAAATATGCCTTTAATATCTAGATACAATAGGTTTAAAAAAATCCAACAAGCTGCCTCACTATGTTTTTTATGATCCTAAATTATTTTCAGATAATCCCAAAAGTATTGTCAAAGTTGAATCTGTAGAATGAGAAAACGTCAACGGGTGTTGAATTTTAAAGTAGAATTTTAAAAACTGTGTATTGATTGACTGAACTTGTTTCTCCTTTTTCAGTGAGAGAGAAGAGAAAAAGCAACCACATCAACCATGTAAGTACACACAACAGCTGTGAAAGGAGTAAATAAAAAGAATAGTTCATGGTTCTTGTTTCTCTATAGTAGTGGTTCCCAAAGTGGGTGGTACTGCCCCCTGGGGGGCGGTGGGATGCCTTAGGGGGGTGCTAAGAGGCAAGGGGGCCAGCAGGGGGGCACTAAGAGGCGGCCAGGGTGTGTTCGACTCGCCAGCCCGCAGGCTCACTGACTGCCAGCCACACAGCCCATTGACTGTTTGATCACTCCGTAGCCGGCGCCTCAAAGGCGGAACCCGCGCGCAATGAGCCTTGCCAAGCCAGAGTGGGAGAGAGGTGAGAGGTGGTGGAAAGGGGATGCCTTAGCTTGCAGGCTGCCCTCTCCAGTGGAAGCAGTGGAGGCACGCCAGAAGGCCTGAAAGCAAAACCCTCCCAAGGTGCGCAGTGGAAGGGGTGGGTGGTCTGGCGTTAGGGCCCCCTTCCCCGGAGGAGAACAAGGGAGTGCGCAGCGCCTGCCCAGCCTCCATCTCTCTAGCCAGCCGGGCTTGCGCGCAGGATGTGGGTGGGTGCAGCTGCAGCTCTCCAGGGCACGTGGCTCGGTTCGTCTCTACGTGGCTGTCCCAGACCTAGAACCTAGCTTCCCTCTGCAGCCAGGTTCTTCCGACCGAGACCTGTGCTTGCTTGCTTGCTTAGTTTCCAAACGATGGTTCCTACCGTGTCCGCCGATCTGGGCTGCTTCCGCACGCGTTCCTCCTCCTGGGCAGAGTGTAAAGATGGGTGGAACGCTTCCCCGAAGTTGGGAGTCTCTGAGCGTGTGCAGAGTACTTCCCCTTGCTTGGCCCGATGGAAGTGGACCTTGGGTTGAAGCAAAGAGGGTGAAGTCGGCCACATCGCTGCCCCGGGGAGGTTGGCATTGCAAAATTGGATGCCAAAGAAAGAACTGGGGCAGGGGGCTGGAGAAGGAGCAGAGGGGCAGCTGCATTAAGGAGCAGGAAGATCTTAGCCATGGTTAATTGACTAAGCTGGAACCAAACAGCATGCTAAACTCTAAACCAGAATTGCTGGGTTTATATATTCAGCCCATGTTTCTCAACCTTGGCAACTTGTGTGGACTTCAATTCCCACTCTGGCTTTGCTCTACTTTCCCAAAGTGCTGCTGCTGCTGTTGCTTTCTTTCTTTCTTTCTTTCTTTCTTTCTTTCTTTCTTTCTTTCTTTCTGTACATACATACATACATACATACATACATAAGGTCTGCCTTCCTTCCTGCCTACCTACCTACATACCTACCTACCTGCCTGTCTTTCTGTCTACCTACCTACCTATCTACCAATATAGATCTATATCTATCTATCTATCTATCTATCTATCTATCTATCTATCTATCTATATCCATCCATCCATCCATCCATCCAAAATGTCTGTCTGTCTGCCTGCCTTTCTGTCTACCTACCTACCTACCTACCAGTATAGATCTATCTATCTACCAACCTACCTATCCATACATTCATCCAAAATGTCTGCCTACCTACCTACCTACCTACCTACGTGTCTCTCTGTCTGTCTGTCTGTCTTACCTGTCTATCTATCTATCTATCTATCTATCTATCCATCCATCCATCCATCCATCCATCCATCCATCCATCCATCCATCCATGTTCGAAGTGCCAGCCCCGCAGGCACATTGGAAAAGTAGAGCAAAGCCAGTCTGGAAGGGAGGGAGGGAGGGGGGGAGAGAGAGAGAGAGACCTGATGCATCAGATTGAAATGAGGCCTAGTTTAGACTGAGGTCCTTTTCCACATTGAAACCTCTTTGGCTTCTATTAAAGGTTTTGTGGACGAAACATGGTCAAGACTATCAGGAAGCTCTCACATGTTGTTGAGGCTTTAAACAGGATCCATTGGACCAGATCTGCACCCTAAAAATTATTTCCCCCCGATGTATTACAGTGCCAATTCTGAAGAAGGCAAAACCAAAATGTTCTGGTAAATTACAAGGAGAACACACACACACACACTCCCTTCTAACCCTGCTGGAGCAGGTGATTGGACTAGAGTAGATATTATCTTTCTCCTCCCTCCCTCCCTCCTTCTTTATTTCTTTTTCTTTCTGTCCCTTCCTTCCATCCCCCGCCCCCTCTTTCTTTGTCCCTTTTTATTTCTTTCCCTTTTCTCTTTCTTCCTTCTCTCTCTCTTTTCTCTCTTTCCCTCTCTCAGGCTCACCCCATTGACTTGACTTGCTTGGGCAGGTCCCTTCAGTGCAGTGGGCTCAATGGGGTGGACCTGCAGGTCCGGCACCTAGAACGCAGCAGTGGCGGCATGTTTGAAAAGTAGAGCAAAGCCAGAGGTCGGTAATTTTTGCTGCAAAGAATCACAAAAGCTTCTGGGTTATGCACAAGAAGGGACACACATGTCAATGCAATTCAGCAACATAAAATAATGAGATACAAATAAAACAAATCAACAAGAATCGGCAAAGCATCTCTGATTAGGTTTTATTCACTGCTAGAATCTAATCAGAGATGCTTTGCCGATTCTAGTCCAATGACCTGCTCCAGCAGGGTTAGAAGGGAGTGTGTGTGTGTGTATGTGTGTGCATGGCTGTCAAAACTCCAAAAACAGGTCAAGTATCTGGGGAGGCCAGTCATAAATTAGAACACTTGCTAAACAACCGGCCATTAAGTGAGGACCACTTGTTTGCCAGTCACCTGGTCATGCCCACCCAGTCACGTGACCACCAAACCACACCTACCCGGTCATGTGACCAGCAAGCCATGCCCAGCCAGCAAGCCATGCCAGCCAGTCACATGACCATCAAGCCACGCCCACCCAGTCACATAACCAGCAAGCCACACCCTCAAATTAGGCCACACCCACAGAAATTTGAATCCCACCTCTGGGTTGGGAGCATCGAGGATGAGTTTGTAGCACCAAGGGGGCGGTGGACTGAAAAAGTTTGGGAACCATTGCTCTATAGAATGGGGTTTTTTTAAATTTTCTGCTGAATGGAGTAGAAGAGGTTTCAAGTCATACAACCAGACTTCAGCCCACAATTTGTCTCTCTCCCTTGCTTTTGTGATAGCTGTAAGATAACGTTGAAGATGCAATCAGGTGAGAAGAATGCATCTACTCCTGCTTACCATTTTAAAGCTGTAGAGGAAGAATAGTCCCATTACTACTACTCTTATTCCTATTAATTGCTAGGAAAAAAACCCTAGATTTTTATCTAGGAGCAGCAGGAGAAAGTTAAGTAACATAGGACAATGGGTGAGTATTGGATGATGGCACAATATTCTTTGCAAAAAGAAGGGAGTAGAAGGTAGAACAAATGCTGCAAAACCTGACAATAGCTTTAGAAAAGACCCCACAAGCTTATATCCAAGCCTTCTAGCAAAGAGTTTGGGCACTGTAAGTTGTGCATGTTTGGTTTGAATTAATGAAAATATGATTTTTATGTTTAAAAAAAACCTTTTAGCAGAATAAAACCAGTTAAAAATGGGCTGCTGCATATTATTTTGACCTAATTGGTGCTTCAGTTTTAATAAATCTAGTCACACTCTGAGTCCTAGAAAGACCATAGTGGCAAACTACTTCCGAAAAATATTGCTAAAAACTACTGAATTGATGTGAATCACCATGAGGAAAAACGGACTTAAAGGCAACACCCCCTCTGAAAAAGGCTGTGACACTTTCATATATTCTTTAATAGTAATAAGGACATCTGTATAATTTATAGAATTAGTGGCACTGTATCCCTTGGACCTTCTGTGTATGTGTGTTGTCTACTAAAACAGATACAATTTCTGTACAGTATTTCTACTTCCAATTTATTTCTGAATAGAACCATCTAAAGTTCTCAAACATAGATAGGCAGCAGACTATATCAAATAGCTCACGTGAGGCCTCTGAATTGCTAAGAAATCCAACAAAGAATTTTGGATTAGTTGGATCTTAGTCTGAGCAGGTAGACCAGAGTTTGTCACTAGGAGGAGTGTGATTTTTGATTTTGAAACTCATGGATTTGGAGAATATACCTTGTTCTGCAAATGTACAAGGGTTATTGGGGGTAGGGGAAACATCTACAAGGTTACAGTCATCTCACCGCTGTTAGAATATAGCATTCCCTTTTACAGAAGAGACATTACTTTCCTAGATTTGAATATCAACTTGACCTATTCTTGCTTCAGTAACTGCATTTGTTTCCTCTTGCTTTGATGCAAAGATGTATTAAGTGTTAATTACATAGACACATCAAGCTTTAACCTTTTTAAATAGCAACAAATGAATCTTGATCTGAGTTGGGACTGGAAGATGATTCACTGAAACCTCACTGAATTTGTTTCTGTTATTTCAGTAAGTGGTGATGTGTTCAACATAGCGGCCAAATAAATTTCTGCCCAGTGTTTTATTATTCGGAAAGTCTTCTGTCTCTTCTTTATCTTTGCCAGATAAACTTTAAAAGAAAAACAGGTACCAAGAAAAGAAAAATAATGGTGTCCATTGGTGTTTATACCACAACTGGCTATTGCTGAAAATATTACTGATGCTGATTTCTTTTCGCTAGTTTATTTATTCTTAGGCCAGCTATTTAAATGCTCTCCTTAATATATTTTGATTTATTTAATAATATTGTCTGTGTGATTCTAACATGCATAGTAGTGAATCCTGATTAAACCCAGAAATAATGGTTTTCAAATATTTTTATAAACTCCTATATATTTTTTCTTTCCACATAGGTTTCCCCGGGGCAGCTTACAAAAAAGTATAGTTCATGTTCAACTATATTTATAGATGACAGCACAGTCAGCCAACCTAATCTTAGGAGCACAATAAAATGGTATGTATCACTTTATGTGTGGTTATATTGGATTCAACTCACTTGAATCTATGAAATCCAAGAAAAATGCATACCAAATCTAGAGGAAGTGATAAAACAGTATATGCTGAAACAGATTCCCTGCCCCTTATTCTCAGTATTGGTAGAGCAACATCTATATGCTACTGTCAATTTGAGATACTTAACATAGAGCAATACATTATTGGCTGAAATTCCATACATATCCCCAGTTTTAGGGCAGAGTTTATTAGCTCATAGTTTAGAACAGGAGTGTCAAACTCGATTTCATTGAGGGCTGCATCAGGGTTGTGTTTGACCTCGGGGGCCCCAGGTCAATGTCACTTGTGTCAGGGACTCCTGTGGTGCCTGAGTGCTCTGCCAACGAAAATAGGCTCCTGAGCTCTGTTTGCGACGGCCTCCTGCAACCCTCTGCCAGTGAAAACAGAGCTCCATTTTCACTGGCAGAGGCACTGCTGGCTGGTCCTTTGCTGTTTCCAGGGCGGCCCCACGGGTCAGAAATAAGCACCCCATGGGCCTAGAGTTTGACACCCCGGTTTAGAAGAAGTTTTCCTTTAAATATCTGAACTTTACAGTACTCTAAAGCAAATAGAATCCTGCATTGCAGAGAAAACAGGATTAGGATAGTTAATCTGAACCCAAAACAAAGGCCCATTTTGTGTAAGATCAACTCATTTAAATACTATTCATATTCCTGGTAGACCTCATTCAACAACTATTCAAAGTTACAGTGGCACTGAATGAGAAGATTTATGACCATTTTTCATAATTGAAGCCGTTGCAGTGCACCCCCACCCCCATGGTCATGTTTTCATTATTTGGATCCTTAATTACCAGCTCACTATTACGATGTTCACAGCATCCTATGGTCATATGATCACTATTTGTGACCTTCCCTGCCAACTTCTGACAAGCAAAGTCAATGGGGAAGCTGAAACTGCAAGAATTGCCTAAGGGCTACAACTGGAGCTGTCTTTGTAAGTCAGTGCAGTCATATGACATCACACTTTACAACCACATCACTTAGTGAAGGAATTGCCTGTCCCAATTGCCATTGTTAAATGAGGACTACCTGTACATTTTGTATTGTATTATACTGTATTGTATTTATAAAGTATATAGTAATACATTTATAATAAATAATCTACGAGCATATGAAGAGGAGAGCCAGTTTAGTCTAGTGCTGTGATGGCGAACCTATGGCACACGTGCCACAGTTGGCACGAAGAGCAATTTGTGCCGGCACGTGAGCCACAGGCAAACTTACCTCACTGCACAGGCACACACCTCACAGCTGAATTTTGGCCTCCCAGAGGCTTGAGGAAAGCCTTTGGAGGCCAAAAAATAGGCCCGTTTCATCATTTCCTATATTTCCGTAAATACTGGAAGTGATGAAACGGGCCCATTTTTCAACCTGCAAAGGCTGCAGAAGTTTTCCTCAAGCCTTTGGGAGGCCGAAAAAGGCCTCAAAACGGGCCGAAAATCAGCTTGGAGGCGCAGTGCAGGTGTGGGGGTGGGGATTGCGCACGAAGGGGGCAGGGATGCGCATGCATTGCCTTCTGGGTGCTGGCATGCAAGCACGTGCACAATTTTTGGCACAGGAGCCCAAAAAGGATAGCTACCACTGGTCTAGTGGTTAAGGCACCAGCGTAGAAGCCAGGAGATTGTGTGTTCTAGTTCTGCCTTGGGCATGATGGCTGGGTGCTTTAAGCCAGTCACTCTCCCAGCCCAACTCACTTCATAGAGTTGTTTTGGGAAAAATATGAAGAGGAAAAAGTATCGGTATGAACTGTATATGAAAAAAGGATAAAAATCTAAAAAAAAAAAAGATTGACTCTGTCAGAAATATCTTCTCTTAAGTGTTAACTGAAATAACTACTAAAGCTTGGAACTAAGATATTTGCAAGTGTAATTTGTAGAGCATTTCAATTATGACATACATGAAGGATGATGCATCTGTAGCATCCAATGTAGCAACTTTTAGGGGGGAAAAGATTGGAGTTTATTCTCCTTTTTTCCATAACAGGATCTTAAGACTAACTTCCAATTCTGTTGGGTTCCAGCTGAACACAAGTTCAACCCAGTTTATGTTTTGTTTATGAGTGCCTTATACTGTTCATTGACCTTTATCAGCCTAGCAGGATAATCCATGCAAATCAACTTAGCCCTTTGCAGGTAGGTCCTATTGTATTAAAAGTTCATTGGAGTCAGGCTGTGCCTAAATCAAATGAATGAAATGAAATGAAATGAACTCCCTTCCCAAATTGTATTCTTCGAATATTACCTCTGACAAATTCAATAAATTATAAATAATAATTTGGAGCTTTTAAGTTGGAGAGATTAGAGAATTAAGGCAAATATTCGTGTCCCAGAATAATGTTGCAGGATCCAATCTGGGTTGATCACCAGGACCAGAAGTTTGGTCTTTGGAGTTTTTGCATTCATGCTGAAGGCTATCTTCAGAGAACTTCAGGCTGCTAGAGAGCAGTTCCCTGAAGATAGGATTCAGCATGAGTCAGAAAGCTCAGAAGACAAACTCCCTCTGGTCCTAGTGACCGATCCAGATTGGATCTTGCAGATTAGAGACTTGCTCTGCTCAGTGAATGCTAAATTCATAATTTCGTTGAGATATTTTGAGCCTTGGATTGGATCACTTTGAGGCTACTCAATCAAGGCATCCTTTACTTTGCTTAATGTACCCTATCACACTCCAATATCTACAACAGCTGTTCAGACTCTTGGGTGCTTTGACTATATCAAGATTCATGCTTGTTCACACTTTTATATTGGCCCTTGTTTGGAATAGGATAATTTTTAACCTTATATTAATGTCTGTTAAACATGGACATGTACAATGTTCTGTTCTAAACTGATGTTTTAGACTTTAAAATGAAAGGGGAACATGAGAAACAGGAGAGAACTAAACTATAGTTTAGTATATAGTATAAATTTTTTCTTTATCTAACATGTATCAAAATTACATTCATAGCTCTGCTTCTAATTAAATGACTTCCCCTTCTTTTCAGTGTTACTTTAGCAATATATTATCACATAAAGAACAGGTGAGTATTTCTAAAATTTCTTGTTCGAAATTGTATGCAATGATCATGTTGTTTGTAATTCCTTGTAAAGATGCAGTCTTTAATTTTGCTACCTGCTTTTAAAATATCAAGAACTATGACTAATATATTGACCTGTTTTGTTATATTGGGATTCCCATAAAAATATTTTCCTTTCATTTTTTCTCATTTTTAAAATTTATTTTAACTGTAAGGATTGTTTATTGTAATTTTGCTATTGTACTGTAGTATATCTTGGTATTTTTGTCTATATTTTGTACTGATCTATAAGAATAATAACTTCAAACAATACTGGATTTCCATGGCAGAATAACTTGATATGAGCTAATGCCTAAACATAGGAAGAAGGACATACTTTAGGAAAATGTAAAACTTAAGACTTTTGAGTAACCTATCAACATAGATTTTAAAAAACAAAAATCCAATATTTTTCTTTTTTAAAGTGAATTTATTTAATTTTAAATATATTAAAACTTATAATGATTGGGCATTTGAAAAGTGAATGCTAAGTTCCTAAAAATTGGTAAGATTAAATATATGCATATCCTCAACTGTGGTACCTCCAGAGCAGGGGTAGGATGCAAATATTTTTACTGCTGGTTCTGTGGCTGTGGTCATGTGATTGGGTGGGCGTTTCTTCTTCCCCCCCCCCCCCTTTTTTTTTCTTTTTGCTCCCAGGAGGCTTCCCTGACGCCCAGGAGGCAAAAAACGGAGGGTGGGGGGGCTGCACAGTACACACACACACACACACAAACACACTCCATTTTTTTTGCCTCCTAGGCCTCAGGGAAGCCTCCTGAGCGAAGCAGTAAGACAGCAAGGGGGATCCTGGCACAGCTGATCATCGGAACAGCTAATCGTCGGGAGGAAAAAAAAGATACCGGTTCAGCTGAACCAGTAGCTGTTTTTTTTCTACCGGTTTGGCTGAATCGGGCCGAACCAGCAGAATACCACCAATGTTCCAGAGATATGGACCAGCCCATTTAGGAAGTGTTCACTTTGGAATTAAAACTGAAGGAAAGGATGATGGACTTATTGGTAAAATTAAATCCTCTATACAATGCAGTGTATAAAATTAGGTGTTCTTTATGTAAATGAAGGATTAATTAAATAATATATGTATTATACATATTTATAATTGATCTTATAAACCATAGATGTTTCACCTTTGCTTAATGAAAATAAGATACTTAAATCTGTCTAGTATCTGGACCTTCCTTCACTACTTCAATCAAAGGCATTATTTTTGTTTGCCCTTTGTTATTGTGAGAATGGGCTGGTAACATCACCTGGAATGGGAAAAGACCACAGAGAAGATCAACACTGAGGTCTACTCAGGTTCCGATATTTATCTGAAGATAATTATCTGGCATCTTCTGTACATATAGCAGCTGCGTAAGTGGGGAATAAAAGCTGTATATTATACATACTGCTTAAGTCATTGTTCCACTGCAGAATGTTACAGATAGTCCCATAGTGGTGAAGGGGGTTTCTTAAGTACAGGCTGCACAGTGACACATCAGGCCTAGCTGCAAACACTGTAGTTAAGTTCATCCAAAATGGAGACTCAGCCTGATGGAAAAAGTAGTTGCAAAGGCTTTGAGGGCATCTAAAAGAAAACCAGAATCTGATCACTTATGATCCTAGAAATCTGCATGTGACTGATTTTCTTCTGTGTCCTGGAAATTTTTTACCCAGTGAACTCCTGATTTCCTTTCTTCTGTTAACTAGCAATTTCTCTCCTGGCTAATATAGAGAGAGAGCAGACTTGCCTTATCCTTTAGGTCAGAGGTCTCCAACCTTGGCAACTTGAAGACTTGTGGACTTCAACTCCCAGAATT